AATTGAAATGGAATACTACTACGACAATACAAGCACTGCTTGCATAAACTCACTCAACCAATTAATCAGTTATTCTAATATAGAAAACTTATCACGAATCAACTTACTTTGTTATAGATATGCAGAAATCTTGTATCCAGCAGGCCGGTGGGCCCTGTCGGCCCGCCGCTGTGGCCTCCCCTGCGTTTTCCGTTCGAAGGCGGCGAAATATGCAGTGTGCCTTCTCAGCGCTTCTACTGTCCCAGCAAAGCGTATGCCGCGTCACGGCTAAACAGAGGGTCGGAGACAGTACCATCCATATAATATCGAAAAAGGGGTGATATGGGAATCCGCTCTAGAACTTCGGAACAAGATTAGGATCTTCATCCTAAAGAATAAAACGTTTGAACAAGGAATTGGTCACTACATCTTCTTCCTCAGGATTTCGCTCGAGGATTTGGACCTTAGGATTTATGCTTTAGGATTTAGGCCTTAGACTTTCGGAATAAGATTTGGGCCTAAATGTTAAAGAAAAAAGCTAGAAATAAGAATGGGGGCTTAATCTTATTCTTTGGAGTTTCACATGAAGATATGGGCTTTAGAATTTAAGCTTGGAGATTGGGAAACAGGATTTCGGAGTAATAATTAGCGACTAAAATTTCAGAATCTGATTTCGAAACAAGAACTGGGAAGCCAGATTTCGAAATGAGATTTGGGAATGATATTTGGATTGGAACTCTGAGTTTCGTTGTCAAATTTCCGTTCATAAAGAGTGCGCTTTAAATCAAGCTGGTGATCGGTTTCAGGGGATTTCGGCATATGATTTTTGGAATGTTGGCAAAACAAAAAGCAAAATAGGACGAACAACAATTGCGAAAAGGGTTTAGGGTTTGCGGTTTGAGCTTTGGCGTGTGATGTCAATCAACGAAATAACAAAGAACAGCGTCGTTCGAACCGATATGTTGTTTTTCTTGTGTTTTGTATGAGCAATAAGCACGAACTTTAATCGCGAAAAGGGTTTAGGATTTTGGGGTTGCAGGCAGCGCATCCGATATTAGTCACATGACTAACAAAACGTGCGAATTAGAAAAAGTGTTTGTTGTTATGTTTGCTACTGAAACTAACACGAAGAGCATATGCGAAAAATGTTTAAAGTTCAAAGTCTAATGCTGCGCATGTGATGTTGATTGTATAATTCAAACCGACGCCGCAATCGAAAAATGAAACGTTGCATATATCTGCCACACACAAAGAAGCAACAAATACATCGAAGAGGGTTTAAGGTTTAAAATTTAGGGTTCGAGGCTACTCGTAGGTGACGTTAATCAAATATATCCAAAACCGCGTCGACCCAAAACACAACTCAGTATTTATATGTTTTCCATAGAGGATAAAACAAAAAACAATTGCGAAAAGGATTTAGGGTTTGGGATTTAAGCTTGAGCGTATGATGTCAACCTCAGAAAACCAAAAAAAACGTGTGGAGCGAAGCGATAATTTGTTCTTTTGTTTTTATATTGACAATAGTCACGAAATTCAATGGCGAAAAGGATTTAGGATTTAATAGAAATATATGGATTACCAAATCATCTAAAATATATATTTCCTCATTCAAGTTTTAAATACGCCAATTCGAATGAAAATCATACTTTGTATCAAAATATGAATAGTATTTTCATACCTGGAATACTATAGAGGAATAATAAATGATGTAGAGCAGAGAATATTTTATAAGAAAACTTAGGAAATTTCAACATCTTAGTATTTATCTTATTCATATCTACAAGTTTTCTTATTGTTCTTATCAAACGACACAAATTAGAATATATACATACATATGTGTTTTGCAAAATTTTCATAATTCAGAACAGTTTCTCATATCCAAATTCTCAATATTATAATTCGAAAAATAAGTAGCGAAATATTAATAGTTATAATTGGAGCATGAAGAATATATTATATCAAAAAAATCGAAAATCTTAGAAAAAATGAATCTATTAATGCTATAAATTATACTATGGAAATTAATATAAGAATTCTTCCTATCTTCAAAGGATTCGAAACCAAGTGAATAATTCGTGCTGAAAAATCATATTATTGAATCTTTCCATAACAAAAATTTCCGATTCATTATTCCAAATTCCCGGTATAACTTTTGGAATAAGTAGAATAGAAATCCTTTAAAATTCTATAGATGAAATCTAAATACCCATAATGAACTCTACCTATTCAAATTACCACCATATTCGAATGAAAATTCATGTTTTTACATAAATCGAAAATAAATCCAATACTATTACAACTCCAGATCTTATAAAAATGCCGAAATAATACGAGATTCTTCATTGCATACTATGATGAAATCTTGCATACTGAATATTAGGAAAGAATAAACTCCTGTTTTTTATGATTCTGATAACAAAACATCAATGCTATTTTAAAGATAGGCAAGATATATAGAAAGAATTGAAATTTTACACAGTCAAATAAATAGAATTCTGAAATAAAAATGAGTATGAATTACTCATATTTCTATAAATGAATTCGCTGCAACAAGAATACTTCTATTGATTGAAAAAACCTTACAATAATGAATATACATATAACATAATACTATGATTTATAAATATTGAACTCGAAAATTTAATTTATCAATAGTTTCAATATCTGAAATTCCAGAATATTCAAAAAAAACGCAAAATATTCCGTTTCATATCATCTAATGAAAAATTTTCATATTCGAAAAGAATATT